ATTTCGGTTCCTGCTCTAATTCCTCGCCACTTGTAGAAGACACAGCCCAGTAAGGGCTGAGCCATCTGGAGCAGGAGAGACGACTGTGGGCCCACTGCAGACCGGGGAGGGAGCACTGGGGGACCAGAAGGACCTTCCCCCACTTGTCTCCAGACTCACCAGCTGCAGAAGGAACGTGAGCTGTGGTAGCTACCTTGTGCCCCCCTGCTGGGCCAGATGGTGTCAATTCCTAATGACAATCAGGAGACAGAGGTGTAGAGGACAATGGTAGTCTGAGCGACCTTGCTGGACATCACACAGCAAGCAGACAAGAGGAGTCGCGGGGGACAAGCTCAGGACTCCTGCTTCCTGGTTGAGCTGCTCAGGGCTGGACCTGCCCAGTGGCCTTTACCTTTTTATCAAGTAAATCAGAAGTATGGCTCCTACTTGTGATAGAAGGCGGGTCCCTGCCCTCGGTTCCTTCACACAAAACAGCCATGAGACTATGCTGGCCACAGTGGTCACACTTGTTTGCATGGGCGGGAAGGTGTCAATCAGTCCTTAAAGGGCCGGGCACTGCAGAGCAGCCAGGCGCTCAGGCCCAGCACACCAAGACCTGCGCCTGCCTGCTCCGAGTACATGGCCTTTGGAGCCCATTCCCTTCCAGGGAAGCACAGAGCCCCCCAGGTCAGGGGTCCACACTGTGGGGAGCCTTCCAGGCTGTGGGACATCACTCAGGCCTCAGACACCTGAAGATCCCCTCTCTGTCCCCTCCTCCTCTAGACCCAAGCAAAAATGTGTTTCCAAGGCAGTGTCCCAAGATGGTGTTTCCCAGCGATGGCCCAGGTATTCCAGAGCCGCCAGGTTCCTGGGTGACAGCTGACCGTTATCCAGATTTGACAGCTCAGCACCACCCCTCCCAGGCCACCTGGGAGACGTCCCTAGAGGTTTTCCTGGGGCATCCTCCAGGGCAGCCCTGGTGCCCCCCGAATGTTGCTCTTGCTCCTGCAGATGTCAGTGTGCCTCCTGCCACCTGCTCTCAGGCCCCCCTCCTCTCCCTGGCCCCTTCCTGCAGCCACACGCTCACACAAGCCCCGGCCCGGGCTCCTCTTTGTCCCTGTAGCCAACAAGGGTGACAGCACTGCACACCAGACAGTCTCGGAACTGCAAGTTGACACTGTTCCAAAACCCACTCATCCTTGTGGCCAAAGGTCCTGCCCACTCGCAGGACCCTTGGCCAGTCCTGAACTCCCAGGGCTTTCCTATGCTGGCCATCTGGCATCCACCCCAGCACCCCCCAAGATAAGCCAGACTTGCCCAGGCTCCTCAGAACTTCATCAAGGGGCTTTGCCAAAGGACGGGCCTTCAAATAAGGGGCAGCTGCAAACAGAACACCCAAGACCTTCCTGTTGCCCACTCAGGACCTTCCTGTTGCCCACCCCCACCCCCACCCCTTAAGCCAAGGGAGAGGCTCACTCCTGAGTCCACACCAGCCTCCACTTAGATCCCCCTGCCTCGGGGGATTTTTGCAAAATTTTGTCTGATCAAAGAATTTCTAGATATTAGAAAGAGAAAGGAAATGAAGAAAAACAAAACATGCGACAAACGTAAAGCCTGTCACAGGGCCCTGTCCACCCAGCACGTTCGTTCCACAAGGAACTGTGCCGGGAGCTCCTCTGGCGCTTTTCCCTGAGCCTGGAAACCCCACGTGCCCCTTTTTCTGCTCCTGTGGGAAACATCAGCCACTCCCTGGGGGGCCAACCAGGGCTCCCAAGGTACTGCGGACATTTGGACCCACACTTCTCAGGTCCCCTGCATTCCAGGGTGCTCAGCAGCATCTTGACCCCAGGCGTCCCTGGGGGGGTCAGTCGGCCCCAGGTGAGGACTGCCCTGGCAGACGCCGCACTGGTCTAAGGCAGCAGGGACCTTGGTGGCCCTCCACAGCCCAGGAGTGCCTGTCAAGACCAGCCCAGAACTGGCAGGCAGGTATCAAATGTTAACACGGAGCCCAACCTCTGTTCCAGATCCCCTCCCTGGGAATGTGCTTCTGTGAAGAGAATAAAGCGGAGGGAAAGTGGGAGCTGGCCACCCCGCCCGTGAAGACGCTGACGCACGGGGCCAACTCGGCCTTCGACTGGAGGAACTGGATCCCGGGCCCCGGAGCCCAGTGAGGCGGTCCACCAGGAAGGGGCCTGCGGGCTGCAGACTGTGTGATCCTGCCACCACAAAGGTGCCTGAGCCTCGCCGGAGGTGACTCGCGAAGCACAACATGCACTTTTATATTCCAGAATTCCCGCCGCTTGCTTTCACCTTGCCACAGCCATCCTCCATCAGGGCACAGAGCAGCCAGCCAGGTTAGGATGTCACACTACAGCACACACACCCAGACCTGCTACAGGGACGTCAGAGCTGCTGGGGTGGAGGGAGGGGGACCAGGCATCCCATGTCCAGGAATCACAGGCCACACACACGCATACACATATACACACACAAACGCACACGCACACATGCACACGCACACGCACACGCAGCACACGCACACACACGCATGCAGGCACACATGCACACACATACACACACGCACACGCACACGCACACGCACACACACTTTATCTTAGGTGCTCTTCGAGGTCAAGCTCCCACCATTTTCCTTCATCTACTCCCACCACTGTCCATGTGCACGCCAGCTAAAGAGGTCTAAGTGTCAATCAAGCAGGGAATTGTCCACCTGGTCAAGGTGGGGACTGACCCTGGGTGCCAGCACCTTCCCTGTCAGTTTTCTGTGGTCGCTGCAACAAATTACCCCGACACAGCGGGGGCTGGAAGCAACACCGACTTTTACCACACACTTATTCTCTTACAGTTCTGGAGGTCAGAACTTCTAGAAAGGGTTGGTACCTGCGTTCCCTCGGGGGACTCAGGCGGGTCACATCTCCTGCCTCCTCCAGCGACTGGAGGTGCCTGCACATCCTGGCACAGGGGCCTCCTCCATCTCCAAGGCCAGCAGCACAGCACCCCCCCAATCTCTGCCACCTGGCCTCTGCCTCTGCACCTCCTCCTCCCTCTCACAGGGACCCTGTGATGGCCCTGAGCCCTCCTAACAATCCTGGGCTCGCTCTCATCTCAAGGTCTTTAACCACACGTTTTACCATGGAAGGCCACCTGCTCACAGTCCCAGGAATTAGGATGTAGGCATCTCCGGGGTCTCCACCTGCCAGGCCCTGTCCTTCCAAGCACATCAGGCTGCTATACGAGGGCCTCAAGTGAGGAGTCGAGGCCCCTCTTCCTGCGTTTCCCGTTTCTCTCGCTCTGATCAAGTGCAGAGAGGGTGGGGCTTTGCAGAGCGGGAGAGCAGGTTCTTTCTCTTGGGGAATCAAGAGGAGGGCCCCAGCAGAGGGAAGCCTTCTCCGTGGTGGCATGAGCCCTACGGTGGCTTTGCCTTTGAAGAAGATGGTCATCAGAGGATGGGGTGGAGTCCCCATCAGTGTCCTCCCACTCCCACACCTGTCCCCACAGCCCATGCACAGGGTCCCTAAACTGCAGACAACACTCCCACCGTGATGACGTCAAAATCAAATTTGCTCTTCCCCAGAGGCCCTTTCATGGCTGCTGGGTGATCCGCTCCGGCCCTTTACAGAATGAACAGCCGCGTGGGAAGTGCCCGTGTGCCCCTTCCACCTTCCCCTGCATCGCCCAGGCAAGCCAGGAGCGAATAATACAGGGCACTTGGTAAATAAAGATGGCAAATGCCCCTGCAGTCGGAGCCCCACACCCTGCTCGGGGCCTTGCTGTTCCGTCAGGCGCTCTGCTGAGGGAACCCGACGCCTGTTGGCCCCGTTTTGTTTGACTAATGACTTATCTTTTCTGCATCCAAACATAAGGACGTCTGGGGCTGCCATGGCAGCAGAGAGCAAGGCCCAAGTGCAGCCCTCTGTGGTGCACCCAGGTCTACTCTGCAGCCTCGCAGGTGCCCGGCAGGTCCTGGCAGGAAACAGTGGGCTCCCTGTGAGGGCAGGCAGGGGACCCTCCTGCTGGGAAGCCATCCTGCCCCAGCTCTGGGACAGCTCTCCTCCCTCCAGCAGGGTGTGGAGGACAGCTGCCGTCCCGGGGGGGCCTTTCCTGGACCTGCTGCCACACCCACCAGCCGCGACACAGGCACAGAGCACATCAAGTGGGCACAGTAAGCCGCAGTCCCAGCACAGGCTGGCCTGTACTGTGTCCCTGGACTCATCTCCAGGGTGAGGCTTAGGGTTCCAGGTCCCTGTCTGGTTCCAGGGATGATCCTGGCGTGGGTGCTGCTGGCCTGGTTTGCCAAGGGAAGGGGACAGGACGGCTGGGGTTCCAGCTCTCGGGGTGCAGTGTGCAGGAAACACTTTTCCTTTATCTTCCATGTGTCTAGCCAGACCAAGTTCCGTCATTTTGGGCTTCCAGAAGGAGTGACTTGTGACAAAGGCTGAGTCCTGAGCCAGCCTGCGCTGGAGAGGGGCAGAGGTGGCACCTGTGGCGGGTTCACCCTGCAAGTTTCCACCCCAAGATCTAATGAGGGGCATGGCGGGGAGGCTCCTTGGCAGGCTTCACTCTTTCCTCTCTCTGGGTCAGCCCTCCGTGTTTCTGAGCCTCGTGTGACCCCTGCTGGCACCATCTGGGAATGGACCGGTCACCATGGACGCACCAGCCTGTCACCACCCACATTCTCCTTTTGACTCCTGCACCTGAGCGCTGGAGGACACCAGCCTGGGCAGGATGGGCACCCCGAGGCTGGGCGGCTGGGACTGGTTCTTAGCCACTTGTGGCATCATATGCCCACCCCTTGCCTGGCTCTGGAAGGACGGAAAGTGGGGGAGAAACTGGAGGAGAAGGAGTCAGGGGAAGGCCGGAGGAGGAGGCAGAGGTGGATGGAGATGGAGGTGGAGGTGGAGCCGGCCTTGGCTGGACAGCAGAGCCAGTGCCTGGTCTCCAGGATGCACCCTGTGACAACGAAGAGCTCAAGGCCAGGCCTGAGGCCACCATCCAGGCCTGGACTCCCGGCAATTGTTGTCCTGAGAAGAAAAGGCCATTATGCTTTTGCACCAAAGCAAGTCTGATTTTAGAACCAAATTTGAGATGTTTAGGTAGGATTCATGTTGGCCCATGCAATGGCTGTGTCCCCTCCCCAAATTAAGGGGCAGACAATTCTGCCAGGATCAGAGGTCAAAGGAAAGGGAAGTGGCCGTATGAGCACATAGCTGGAAAGCTGGAGACACCCCAGGGTCCCCACAGTGGCTGGGAGGAACCCGGGTCGCCCCCAGGAGCTGCTGAGACCAGTTCATTAGGGGCACGTTGTGTCCCCTGAAGACCCCTGAAGGCCAAACCTAGCACTGTGCTTGGCCACAGGGGGTCTAAAGAAGTGATTAAGTTCAAATGGGTTATCAGGGTGGGCCCACCCCCTGCTGCACTCCTTGTAAGAAGAGTAACTCAGGACACAGCACACAGAGAGGGCCCACCCTGTGGGGACACTGGAGAGGGCCTCTGCAAGGAAGGACAAAGGGATCAGAACAAACCAGCCCTGGGGCACCTTGACCTGGCTTTCGGCCTCCAGGACCTGAGACAGTGCATTCCCTGCCTATGTCCTTGTGTGAGCCACAGGGAGTTGGCACAGTACATAGAGGACAGGGTTATAAACCCGTGCCCCTGGGGGGCTGAGCTCTACACAGGCAGGTCAGCACAAGGTCAGTGTGAGGTCAGCGCAAGTGTCTAAGGAGCTGTGCCATCCCCTCAGCGTCACACTTGTGAAGGTCCTGTGAGTCCCCTGGGTGATCTGGAGCAGACAGAGGAAAAGTGAATTATGTGCAAATACTGCGCTGTTGTACACCAGGGGCTGGGGCACCCCAGGACTTCAGTGTCCACAGGGCCTGGACCATCCCCAGAGAATGCTGAGGGTGACTGCCAGGGCCTGGACCAGGATGTGAGCTGGGGCACCTCTGTGGGGCTGTGGGCACCAGGACCAGGGCAGAGGTCACTTGCAGGCACAGGAAGGGGTCAGATCTGGCCGCGTGGCTGGGTACTGCCATTCAGCTAGAAAGCGCTGAGGCAAGCCCAGTCTGGCAGCTACTCTGTGACCCAGGTGAGTTTCTGAACTCTCCAAATCTGTTTTCTCATCTATGAAATGGACGACTGTTCACACCCTTCCTTAGGACAGCTATTAGGTCAAAGTCAGCCTCCGCAGGCAGGAGCAGCCACCTGTGTGCACTGGAGACTCTTCCACCCTTCATTGGACAGCTGGGACCACCCAGAAGAGCGCTCGAGCGAGTCTGGGTTCTCTCCTCCACCTGGCCTTAGGAGAGGGATGCAGCTGTCCAGGGAATCCAACAGAACGCCCGCCGTACAGTGTTCTGTGAAGAAAGCAAGCGGTGAGACCTGGACTTAAGAAAGATGATAGGATGGATTTTTTTATGTTCTTGGATGCAAACAATCATATGAAGAGATAAAAGAAGGGCTGGGATATGGCTCCAGGGTCTAGCATGCACAAGGCCCTGGGCTCGATCCCAGCAACACAAATTTTCTTTAAAAATGGTAAGACAATAATTTTGTAGTAATCAGAAATTCAGGATATTTTTTTAAAAAGAAAGAAATTCAAAATATGGCTCCTGAAAAGAGCCGGAGGCCAAATAACAGCTTCTACAGAATGCTTTGCTCTCTTCTCAAATCCTGTCTGTCTGTCTTTGTTTTTGACGCCCTGTGAGGTAAGAGGAGCCAGTGCCGCCGTCGTGTTGGAGGTGGGATTAGTGCAAGGGGGCAACGGGGTCCAGCAGCGTCAGGGTGGAGGCCAGGCGGGGAGGGCAGCGGCCGCTATAGAGAAGGAAACGGGAGCCTCCCCTGACTGCCGCGGAGCTGTCTGAACTGGACAAACCGCATGGAAGAAGCATTTCCTGGTGCTGGACAGGCGGGAGGGGAAGCAGGTGTCCTGAGCTTACCACAGTCTCTGAGGAAAGCAGTTTCCAAACCACAGTTAGAGGCCCGGACAGAGCCCCGAGGGCTCATGAATTCAAAGGGACAAAGAGGTCCGGGGGAGCAGGCAGCAGCTAGAAATTGCAGGACAGGGTGCCCAAGAGAAGGGCACTCCCAAGACAGAGGCCGGGAAGGGGCACAGCAGTCCCTCGACCTCTGGCTGAGACAGATCAGAGAGGTGACCCTGCAACAGGCCAGGCGGAGAGCAACACAGGCCTGTGAGGCCCAGAGAGCAGCGGTCCCCAGACCCACGCAGCGATGGTGGCACCCTCCTCCTGTCTTCGCAGCACGGGAATGAGCTGCTCCTCTTTGAGGTCCTGGAGCATCGGTGGAGAACGACACTTACCAGGCCCCACCATACAGGAGCCAGACGCTGCCGTGGCAGCAGAAGCCAGGTTTCAATCTGTGAGCTCCAGGGGCACATTCCCCGGGTCCCAGCCCCTTCCTCTCCAATCGGCCACACCCCCTCACTGTGTGCCTGTCCTACGGACACACGCAGACCCTGCCGCAATGTGAGTGACCATGCCGTGCTTCTGAATGACCCCTGCCCCTGCCAGAGTCCACTCCAAGCAGAGTGTTGGTTCGTAGCCCCCACTCCCTAAGGTGGTCCCAGACAACAACAAAATCACCCCTGAGTGTAATTGCCTGTGATATTATTTCAGTAGTTGTTTTATTGCGGTGATAAAACTAATAAAGCCCAGTTATAACACACATCATGATGTTAATATATCAAGTAATTTGTCAAAGTTCATAACTTGGTGGCATTTATGTAAAACATTTATATCCCATTTTTAAAAGACAGTAAAATTCAATAGCTTCAGGGACTCTGTTTTACATGCTCTTAAAATCCAAATCGTAAAGAAATTGTTTTAAAATAAATCTATATTTTCAGCAGCTGTGTTCTGGATCACCTGTATGTAAAACGAATTTGAGTGGGTTTCATCACCTGGGGTCAGTAACCGTTTGTGGGCCTCCTCTGTGGAGATGCCCAGGTCACTCCTGAGATTCACAGTGGTGACACCATGTCACATGCAGAGAGCACCTGTGGCCAGCTGACCTGCAGAGTCGGTGCCTGGACCTGGCACCTTGACCCTCCCGGGTCTTGACCTCACGGATCGTGGGAACCCTTGGTCTCCACCAGAATCAGCAATACCCCAGAACCTGTGCAGACTCACCCCAGGCCTCCCCCATACCTGCCCAATCAGGCCACTCAGTCCGCTCAGCCCTCAGGGAACCGGCCTGTGGAGGGAGTCATTCCAGATGCAGTGCCCAGAACAGACCTGCGACGGCGACCATCAGGAGTTCATATCTGAATTGCTTGACGTGACAGGAAGACGATCCTGTGCCTCACAGCTGTACCGTCACCCCTCAGACTCCAAAATCTACGCCTGCTCGAACGCCTTATATAAAGTAGTATAGTACTATTGTACTATAAGGCCCTGTTACTTAGAATGCCAATACCATGTAATGCTATGAAATCAGTAGTTACCGTATGGTGTTTAGGAGGAACAACAGAGGACCTCAGCAACGTTTCATACAGATGCCACCCCCATCCCTAGACAGGCACCACCGCGTGCAAACCCCTCCTTGGTGAAGGCACAGGGTCATGTGCAGGTGGAGGGCAAGGCCTGGTCGCCATGGCGGGCTCTGGTTATGCAGAGTGCGCATGGGTGGGTAAGGCTATGAACATCCATTAAGAGCCAGCGCGGGGATCTTGTGCTGCCACCACCCCAGGGCTGAGCTGTGAGTGAGGATGAAGAGCTCAGGTGTGCTAGGAGGGCTCCTCATGCCCTTTGGGTCCAGTAACAGCCTTGCTGACTTGGCGGCCACCTGTTCTGCATCCCGGCTACAGGTCAGAGTTAGACGAGCACCTATGGAAAATGACCTCTAACCCTCGGCCAAGCGAGCTCTCCCTGGGGCATGGCAGCCGTGACCATGACCCAGCAGGACTTGTCTGCGATCCTTCCTCTTCTAACTTCCTGTGGCATCAGGGTTCATGAATACCCACAAGAGATTCTCAGACGAGGTGATCATAGTCGTGCATGCAGAAGGCCAGTGGGACAGAAATGGTCATTGTCCCGTGTGGTTGAACCCTTTGACATCAACCCAAGAGCATTATCTAGGGACAGTTTTCCCTTGTTAGATCATCAGAACCTCACTCCCTCCCGTGAATGCAGGAGTTATGCTGTAATTGCTGGACTGTGAGGTAACCTAACCCTGGACTCAGCTGCCTGAGGGTCTCACTGCCTCTGACGAGTTGGATGAATGCCTGTGGTATCATCGTTTACCATTTTCAATATGGTCCTTTTAAATGACACACTTACTACACTGTCCATGTGTATAAAATCTTTAGGTGGTAAAAATGGCCTTCCCAGATTTTAAATTTGCAACAAATACAATTTTAAAGAAATAAACTTTTTCAATTCTTAAAAAAAAAAGTAGAACCGGTGTGACTAGTTGGCTGTCTTCTGAACATCCAGCAGCCGTGAGGGTGGCCCTCCTCTCCTTTGGCCAGGGGCAGATGGGTGGATGGCCAACAGTGGGTCTGAGTGTAGGGGGCAGTCTGACCCAGTGCTGGACCCCGCTAGATCTCTCACAAGGGAGGGGGGCCCCTGGGGAAAAAGAGGTGCCAAGAAGATTTGGCGGAAAGGGATGGCAAGCTGAAGACCGGGAGCCAGGGAGCCCCCTGCACGCCCCTGTCCCAGGAGGAGAACTCACTTCCTGTTGCCTGTTCTCCTCAGGACCCCACAAATTTGGAAGGGAAAAGCCCAAACTGCCAAGAAGAATTTGAAGTCCTGGCTGGCCCTGTCCTGAGCCCGAGGTGGCCAGTTCACACAGGACACGGGTCCACACAGGCCGTCCCTAGGGCCCGCGGCTCTGCGGCTCTGAGAGGCCGTCCTTTCCCTGCTGGAGCTGGGCTGCAAGGAGAGCCTTCACAGCCCTTCCACCTCAGAGTGGGGACGGTGGCCAAGGGACAGTTACAAAAACCAATATGTCAGGAATTCCTCCTCAACCCAAGACAACAGTCCAGAGCACCCCAAGTGAATGAAGCTCAAACAAAAACCATGATGCAAGGTGTGGTGAGGGTAGGCCTCGGTTTAGGGTCTGTCGTGGTGAATCAACAGTCATAAACGTGGGGTAGTTTAGCCACAGGCCGTTTACCAAAAGGTAAGCCGTGCACACTCCACCACTCGGGCCCCCAGGTGAATGGAGAGCAGACCCAAGCTGGCAGTGGGCTGGCGCTGTCCTGTGTTCCCGGCCAGCACAATCAACCAGTTGCACAGACCGTGATGCGCCATCTTTGGTCTCACGTCTGGCTTACCTGACGTTCACAGTGGTCCATCAAGGGCGTCATTGCTGCAAAACGTTTATTTTACTTTTACTTTTCCAAGAGCTCTTCCTCACCCTTTGAACTGAATTGTTCTGCTCTGAAGGCGCTGTCGGGGCTCCTTTGTTGACTATCAGGTGCCTTATTATTTACCCTTATTTTGACTTGAGCTGTTCTCCAACATAACACTGACCATTTCCGTCAACTCCTGCAGCTTTTCCAAGACTCAACGCTTCCCCTCCTCATCTACTGTACCACTATGTGGGAAACCTGGCGATTGGGAAGAGGGCTTGTCAACAGCATGGACGTGAGGGGCTGAACACAGCTCGCCTGGCAGGAACAGAGCACTAAAAAAAAAAGAAAAATGTGCGTTCACCTGACACCCAGGGACAGCAAGACGCTAGCGCTAAACAGGAATAGTCTTTAAAAGGTTGGTTCATTGGCAAATATGGCCAACGCTGCCTGACTGCCACAATCTCACTCCCAACTCTATAAAACAGGATTCACGTCGTGAATACTTGGAGGGCTTCCAACCCCAGCCCCAAGCCCAGTGCCTGATTCACAGTTGGCCTCCAGGAAATACCCGCTGAATACATGAACTGCAAATCATGGTGAAGGGCATACAAGAATAAACAAATCATCGCCGTGGTTACCAGCACCCCGTCGAGCAGATTCCTGCTCAGAGGTATGAGAAGTCTGGAAATAATCAGTAAGGAATAGAGGGCAAAGACAGAAGTTAGATGGAAAGGGAGACACCAGGTGGTCTCCCAGCCCTGAGAGGAGCTGGAACTGGACACCTGGACAAGGCCCCAGTCCTTTATCTAAGGAAGTACATCAGCTTCCAGTGTGGCCGGGACCTTGTGGTGACAGGTGACGCCCCTCTCGGCGGCAGCGGTGTTTGATCCTGGGGCTGTGAGCTGAGGCAGGGCCATGGTGACCTGGGCTTTCTCCAGCCAGGAATCTCACCCAGGTGTGCTCAGTGCACGTAGGTAAATGTCACAGCTCATTGATGTTTACAACTCATACATGTCAATAATCACAACAGAAAAGAAAACCAAAGAGCTCTAGGAGATGGTATGCAGAGGAGGCAGGACACGAGGAGGGACTGCCAGCAGCCAGAGGGGAGGACCCTTGCGGAGGGGAGGGGTGTGAGGCAGGGCGTCAGGGTCAGGGGTCAGGCAGAGCACTCACTGTGGGCAAGGCCAGCATAGCCAGGGGAGGAGAAAGGTCAGGTGCCATTCTGGGGGTCCCCAAGGACACTGGTCCCCAGGCTGGCAGCAGAGCCCAGCATGCGCTCCTGGAGACCCCGCAGCGGGAAGGTGAGCCGAGTGCCAGGGACAGACACAGCCAGAGCCGGAGAGTCTCCAGTCCATGATGGGACTCACCCAAATTAGAGTCCTCAAAATGTCAAAGCTGTGAGTCTCATCAAGCCACGGTCAAAAACAAACAGGCCACAGGCCAGAGAGATCACATGCTGATGAAGGGCAGAATGGGCAAAGAACTGTCCATTCAAAAATAAAAGAGAGCCCCAGAAAAACTGGGAAAAGACGTGACCAGACATTTCACAAGGGCAGCTAGGCAAATACCAGAGAAGCACAGGAATAGAGGCCCAATGCCATAGTTAAAAAGGACGCTGTGGGGACAGTTAATGTGACCATGCCTGTGGGTTATGTGGATTAGGAAGATTCTATCAAATCACACTGACATGGAATCTCTTAGTTTTGTTGACTATAGTATGATGGTATTCTTGTTGTCATAAGACACACTGAAATACATAGGCATTATATTACACTCCGATGATTGCAAAAAATAATATATCTGTAACACACACACACAGTACATTCTCTCTGCACACTCCTCTCTCTTCCAGAGAAAATAAAACAGATGGAAATTGACTAAATCACATTTCATGCATGTACAAATATGTCACAATGAATCCCACTATTATGTCTTATTATAATGCACCAATAAAAATTATTAAATAAAAATGAAAATAAACTTACAAAATAAAGCAAACAGGGCCTGATGCAGATAACTTCTATCTGGGTAAGGAGTATATTATATAGGAGTTTCTCTTACTATTTTTGTAACTTATAAATTTAAAATTACATAAATTACCAAATATTAAAAAAAAAAAAAAAAAAACACTGAAAAACTGTAATGATGTTTTCTAGGATTAATCTGGCAAAAGGACCAGAAGCCAAGATGAAGAAGCCACCTCTGGCCAAAAGGTGTCCTTCTGGGCACAGCTAGTCCTGGCCTGATACCTTGAGGCCAAGTCCACACTGACATCTCAGAGGAGACCCCAGTGCAATCTGGTCACCATCTGAAGCCCCGCTACTTAGCACCTATCTGAGACACTAGTGCTTCACGGGAAAGAAGTACCTCTTCTGTGCTGCACAGCCTAATAAATCCAGAAGCAATGGCAGGTTAGGAAAATCTTATTTCTCCAACATGCCTGCAGGGCCTGAACTTGGGCCCCAGTCATCACCAGGATCACCTGCTCACCACAGGTCGACCACACAGGCCCACCTTCATGACGCCATGGGTTCAGTTCCAGACCAAA